AGAGATAGACAGAAAGGGGTTCTCGAGTTGTCTCAAGAACAATATCTTGACAAGGTTCTGAAATCGTTCAACATGGATCAAGCAAAAGGGGTTACCACACCATTAGGAGTACATTTCAAGCTCAAGGCTGCAACGAATGAGGAACTAGAGGATCAAGCTGAACAGATGAGAAATGTTCCGTATGCAAGTGATGTGGGCCCTATTATGTACTCAATGATTGGTACGCGAGCAGACTTGGCATATCCTGTTGGTGTAATTAGCAGATACATGGGAAAGCCGACTAGAGATCATTGGTTGGCCGTCAAGTGGGTTCTCAGGTATATCAAGAAGTCAAAAGGCAAGAGGCTGTGTTTCAGAAAGCAAAACAAATTTGAAATCAAGGGATTTTGTGACTCAGATTACGCTGCAGACATGGATAAACGAAGATCAATCACCGGGTATGCATTTACTGCAGGTGGAACTGTCATTAGCTGGAAATCCGGTTTGCAGAAAGTTGTTACATTGTCCACCATCGAAGCTGAATACATGGCGCTTACAGAGGCTGTGAAAGAGGGTATATGTCTGAGCGGTTTGAGTGCAGGGTTGGGAATGAGACAGGAAACAATGGAGGTTCATTGTGACTCTCAAAGCGCCATCTCTCTGGCCAAGAACTCAGTACATCATGAGAGGACCAAGCATATAGACGTAAGACTGCATTTCATAAGAGATATGATTGCAGAAGGGAAGATCAAATTGGTGAAGATTGGTACAGCCCACAATCCAGCTGACATTCTTACCAAGACGGTTCCAGTGAGCAAATTTGAAGAAGCATCAAGTTTGCTCGGCTTTGTCTCAAGGTGAGAGGCATCAAGATCCGGAAAAGGGAAGTCCAAAAACTAGAATCAGGAGGTTGAAGATTACTAAGGCAAGGTGGAGTTTGTTGGTTTGCCTTCGAATCTCCAAAGGGTTTAAGCCGGTTTAGTGAAATCAGTTATACCGCAGTTAAAGAGGATTGGTTAGTTTTTTGCAAGAGGTGAAACCAAAAGCAAAGACTCTAGACGACGCAGAAGGTTTCTTTAAAAGCAGAGACATGCTTTTGAACAACCAAGATCAAGTCGTTAGAGACAGAGTATAGCAAAAGAAGAAAGGCAGGAAGATTTGGCGACAAAGGGGAGCTTAATCAGCTGACTTGCAGGTTTGCAGGCGGCTAAGGCGTTTCCTCATTCACGTAATTGTCTCAGACTCTTTGGACCGACTCGGAAAAGCATCGATCAAGAGTCTTATCCTCAAGAGTGTATAAAACATCTTTTTATCAGTCTGAGACAAATTGGAGAAAGAACTAAGAACGTGAGAGAGAGCCAAAGTCTAGGTCTTTGTAAGCTAAACACATTGATTCTAGTGGATTTCCGGAAATTTTTTCCGGCGAGACGTAGCGTCCCTGTCCCTAGTTTAAGGGCGTGAACTCGTAAATCGGTTGTGTGCTCCTCTTATTCTGTTTTCTGTTGTCTGCTCTCTTTTCTCTCAAGCAAAAACCATCGCAAACAAGCTTCTAAGTATCATCAACTTACCCAAATCCTAACATTTTTTTTTAGAAATCAGGATAGAAGTTTACAGGGAAGGGACATAAACAGATAATCTGGGTATTAAGAACATTATCCAAAATGTTCTTGACAAAATAACAAGACAAAAAATTGGATAACAAGATGGCTTTAGAAAACTTAGTAACTAAAATCATTTCCCAAACTTTCAAAGATTTGGGTATGGTTCAACTTAATGTGTAATTCAAACAATTTCAAGAAATTTTCGCTATATCTATACAAAAGCTCACATACATGGTCATTGGTCAATCATGTCATATGATGAGGAATGTGATGAACCAAGTTAAGGAAAAAAAAAACATTTTGATCCCTCATATTCCTTTTGATCTCCCACAATCATTTTTTTTTAATTTTTTTGTTGGCTACAGATACCATTACAGCCCAATAGGCTACATACAAGATGCACAATTATTTTAAACCCAATAGCAAATAAGGTTCAAATAACAAAAACAAAATAAAATACACGTGTATACACACATGTAATTTTATCAAAACTGAGTAAACATGTGGCACATGTTGAACCCATCTGCGTATCAATGCTGTTCCCGTCACCGATCTTCACCGCCGGCAACTACGAACACCATTGCTTGCAAACTGAAAATCACCTCCGGCGGCTTCAATCTCCACAACCATAACTAATCTTGCACCTCAAGGTTTTTCTTTTGTCGATCTCCAAATCCGGTTGATAATTGTCGAAATAACCAGGACGAAATCACAAGAGAAACACTTCTAAGCTTTTTCCAGATCTCTCTCCTCAAAGAAGCTCCGCTGCTGTTCATATACTCAATTGATCTGAGCGGTATTCATTGCTCCAATATCAAGTGAGAAAAATGAAAAAACAGCAAAGAAATTACTCCAAGAATGAAGAAAACCCTGAAATTAAACTTAGAAGAAACATCAGTAATTCCGACGATAGAAAACACGTGCCACAGGCTGAACCCATCTCGTTGAGAGATCACGGCTGGTTGAGAGATCAAAAAAGATGAGAACAACGGAAAAAGCCGGATTAAATACGAACAAATGTCGAAAATTATTATCCGAAAACCAGAAAAGAAATCCGAACAAAGTCGGAAGTATATACAAACAAAACTAGAACAATTCGGTAATATTTTCGGCTTCATAATGAAACCGAAATCATATATCAATCTCTGAATGCTAGGTGTGCGAGAAGAGAGAGAGTTTTGTTGGAATATAGATTCCCAAAACAGAATAAGAAAGAAGAAACAGAGTAAGAGATAAAAATTATCTCTTCTCTTCTAAAGAAGAACATACATGAAATATAAATTTTTATTGAATCTGATACTTGTTGATTACAACAAGACAAAATTGGTTTATATACAAAACGAACAGATGTTAACACAAAGAGTTGTGTCTCTTCATACTCGTGACTCTTAAAATATAACTGTCTAGATATAAGTCATGTTTTCACACACACCATTTGACTTAACATACTAAACTAAATTATCAAATAATATTTAGACCAAACTCAATTATAAATCAACACTCCTCCTTAATTGAGTTTTGGTCTTATTCCAAGCGTTCTCCCTAGTTCTCCAATGGATCAACATTTAAGTCAATCGCATCAACCATTTGCTCCATCTTTCCTTGTGAAACTGCGGCTGCTTCTTCACTCGCTAGTAAGGCACTTGCGTCTAAGTTACTCTATCTGAGTGGAGAACTCTTATGCTTCATCTTAGGGGGTGTTATTCAATCACGGTTTTTAATAGAATTTAAATCCAACCACAATCCACTATTATTCAACTAATGATTCTAAATAATGTTTTAAAATCAAGTGTTATTGGTTCTTTTGATTGTAAATCATATTTAAGAGGTTTTAAAGTTTGGTGTTATTCAATAAAGATTTCAAATCTTTCATTAAAATCCAGTGTTATTCAAAACTAAATAATTTTTAAAATCTTTGTACATTAAGTCATTTCAAATCAATTTTAATAGAGTTTTATGAGTAAATTATTAGAATCAAAATCCAGTGTATATTGCAGAGATTTTAGAATCTAAACAAATGAATCCATCAAACTGATATCAATTTTTAAATCTAGAAGATTATAAAACATAGAAAATTCATTTAAAATTCATGATTGAATAACACCCCCTTAATGTTCAGAATGCTTCTCCTTTGAGGATCATTGATGAAACATCTTTGGTCTCCATTTTTTTTATGAGGTAAGCATCCTCCTTTCTTGGTGTCTTCCTTTGATCACCATCATAACATCTTCATGACGTCTTATGAGTGAATACTCTCCACGTCTTTTATGTTTTGTGCTTCTTCGGACAAAGTTTCAGAATTCTCCTTCCAAACTCCATGTTCACATCCATTGTCTCCATTTCCTTATGAGAAGATTTCATATCTCCTTTATCCTTTTGGAGCCTTCTTCTTGAAGTTATGGCATGTGAATGTGCTTGTGCAGATGGATGGTGCTTTCTCTTATCACCATCTCCTCTTTTTTTTTTTGGTTTCTCATCTCCATCTTTCTCTTCTTCTCGCAGCGGATTTCTTCTTATTCTTATTGTGCTTGAACAGGCTCCAAGACCGATATATGCTCTGATACCTTGTTGGAATATATATTCCCAAAACAGAAAGAAAGAAGAAACAGAGTAAGAGATAAAAATTATCTCTTCTCTTCTAAAGATGAACATACATGAAATAGAAACTTTTATTGAATCTGATACTTGTTGATTACAAAAAGACAAAATTGGTTTATATACAAAACGAACAGATGTTAACACAAAGAGTTGTGTCTCTTCATACTCGTGACTCTTAAAATATAACTGCCTAGATATAAGTCATGTTTTCACACACACCATTTGACTTAACATACTAAACTCAATTATCAAATAATATTTAGACCAAACTCAATTATAAATCAACAATTTTTTCCTATTATCCCACAATCAATCTAACTGATTCAATTGTGATGAAAGAAGAAGTAAATGAACTTCTCCATTGATTATGCGAAATCAAAAGAGTTTTTTTTTTTTTTACTAATCATCAGTCTACTAAAAGGCTTTAACAGATATTAATTTTATTGCAAAAATAAAAAACCGGAGCTCCGAAATTGACAAACCCAATTCTAGACTTCTCCAAATTTTGGTTTTGAAGGAAGATACACTACCAAATACATTTACTTAATCAATCAAAAGTCTTGTGTTTTTGGTTCAACCTATTGCATTTTCACATGATTTGGGGGAAACTAACGTTTTAAAATTTAACATTTTACCACCAAAAAAAAAAAACACTAACGTTTTGAGGCTTTTGACTATAGAGTTTGACTTTCTTAATACACACCCCCACGAAGTCAAGAGTTCAATGCTTTTGCGGAGTTTCGATGACGTGGCAAGATCTTAACTGTTAATCTTTCTTTCAATCGAGACCGTTAACTTTTCCCATTAGGAGCGATCCCAATTTCTACCTTTCTTTCTTCCTTCCTCCTCTCGCACCTCCTCTCGACAAGTCGAAGGATCAGTATTCGAGATTATCTCTGTTGATTCGTTTTCTGGAAACGGAGGAGAAATGGGTTTCGAGGATGATCCGTAAGTTGTTCTCCTTCTTCTTCATTTATCTTAGCTGTTCTGTAAATTCTCAGCCCCTTCCTCCTATGATTAAAATCTAGGGTTCGAGCTTTTTGATTTTCCAAAATTTCGATTCTCCGATACAAAAAAGTGTATTTCGTTTCATGGGCAGACGAAAGACCTTAATTTTGCTCTTCTGTTGATTTTAAATCCATCTGGGTTTCAGATTCATAGTTTACTTTTTTCGTGTTCGATTTATCTGATCGTTTTTATCCTTTTTTTTTTCAGGTACCGTGATGTAGATGGGGAGCCATTGATGGACTTTGATGACTTCGGAAACGATCGTGAGCCATCTTCAGAGCCAGTCCAGGACTTTGAAGATAACTTGGCCGATGATATCGGTGAATGGGATGGTGAAGGGTCACAAACGCCTGTTTATGATAACGACAAAGTCAAACCTAGGAAGAGGTTGGTGAAGAAAGGGTCTAGTGGAAAGGAGAGTATCGATGTTCCTGAATTGATTGATGAGGACATAGAGGATGCGGAGTTTGATGAGTTCATGGGAGGAGGAGGAGGTGGTCGTACAGATTATGATGATGATAAGGTTGGTAGGAAGAGGAAGAAGGAGAAAGATCGAAGTGGTAGTGGCAGTGGGAAGGAGAAGAGGAATAAGTTCCCAAGCCGCGGTGAGAGGAAGTCGGAGGAGATTGATGAGATGTGGAAATCTATTGCACATAACCCAGAGGTGCATCACATTGGTTTTTTCCCTTTGAGATGAGAAAGATTTCGTTTTTTTTTTTCACCTCATGAAAGTTATCTCTGTTATAGAACGATGAAGAAGGTATTAGGACTATGGATGACGATAATTTCATTGACGATACTGGTTTGGATCCCTCTGAGAGGTATGGAGGTGACGCTGGAGACCGCTCTCCAACTCATTTTCCTCAGGTATGAGTAGTGTATCTTCTGTTTCCCATCTCTGAGTATAGCTTTTCTTTGATGGTACATGATGATTTTGTTACGAACAAACAGGCAGAGGAGGATGATGATGATGAGGTAAATAACCTTTTCAAAATGGGGAAGAAGAAGAAAAAGACTGAAAGAAACCCTGCCGAAATCGCGCTTTTGGTTGAGAATGTGATGGCTGAGCTTGAGATCACTGCTGAGGAAGACGCAGAACTTAATAGACAGGGGAAGCCTGCTATTAACAAGCTTAAGAAACTTTCCCTTCTTACCGATGTACTGGGAAAGTAAGTAGCTGACTTACAATTGTCCTATACTGTTTCTTTATAGTTATCTGTTTTGTAATATCGCATGTTCGACTTTGTCCAGGAAGCAGCTTCAGACAGAATTCCTGGACCATGGAGTTCTAACTCTGTTGAAGAATTGGCTTGAGCCTCTTCCAGATGGAAGCTTGCCAAATATAAACATCCGTGCAGCTATTCTACGGGTTCTCACTGATGTATGCTCCTGTTTCCGTAAAGAGAAATTTTGCCTCATTGACCAATTATAGCTCCTTTATCAATTCTCTGAGTTTGTCTTGCAGTTTCCAATTGATTTGGACCAGTATGATCGTAGGGAGCAATTGAAAAAAAGTGGACTTGGAAAGGTTAGGATACACCACCTAATGCAAATTGACAAGTCGTTATGTAGGAATTAAACCCATGAACACTTAAATTTGTTCTGGCTTTTGGCAGGTCATTATGTTCTTATCAAAGTCCGATGAGGAAACTACTTCAAACAGACGACTAGCTAAGGATTTGGTTGATAAATGGGTAAACAGCTTTTTTTCGACAGCTCTAGTCTGTTGAATCAAATTCCACCCATTTGCTTACTAGTGTATGCTTGATGTTGCAGTCTCGTCCAATTTTCAACAAGAGTACTAGGTTCGAGGACATGAGAAATCTTGATGAAGATAGGGTTCCTTATAGAAGACCAGCAGTAAAGAAGTACATCCCAAACCTTTTCACTTTTTAACTTTGTATTCACATTCATAAACTGATGCATAGCTTTTCTTCACATAGACCTACCAACAAAGCTTCGACGATGGAGTCCAGAGATAGTGACTTTGACTTAGATATTCGGTAAGGAAGAACCCTTCTGGATTTGGATATTTAAACTTCGTATAAAGTTATTTTTTCTTATAATACTCAGTGTATGTTGATAAATATACAGGCAACGTAAATCTGGCCTGACTTCGGGTCAGAGTTCAAGGGGAGATTCGTCCAGGAATATGACCATGAGACCAGAAGCAACCCCATTGGACTTTGTGATTCGTCCTCAATCCAAGATTGACCCAGATGAGGTCAGAGCCCGTGCTAAACAGGTTTCTCAGGACCAGCGTAGACTGAAGGTAAAACACTCTTACCATTTACTTATACCCGGAAAAACACCATCTAGTTACCAATTTGGTCTGAAAAACATATAGACTCAAGCACCTTGCTCATGTACAAGATGGAAATTAAAATCTGAGAGCTTTGTGCTGGCTCACAATCTCAGAGCTTAAAGTCACAGTTTATCAAGAAAAACTTTTTGTTGCTCTTTCTTTCCTCTGAATCCTTCCTTAAGCTGGCTCCTTTGTGTTGAAATTGCAGATGAACAAGAAACTGCAGCAGCTAAAAGGAACAAAGAAGAAGCGGTTGCAAGCCACAAAGGTCAGCGTGGAAGGTCGGGGTATGATCAAGTACCTGTAGAGAGGTTGCAACCAGGCCATCGAGCCACGTTGGAACTGGGCTCTTCTATCTACTTGTAATCTTCACCTTTGCTTGGATCAGTGTTTAAAGGTCTTCGAGATGAAGTCAGAGACTTGAGGCATGGGGTTTTATACTTACATGTACTCTACTAGATAATGATTTGCTTTGAGTCTCTAATGTAATGGGAAGTGAAAGAAACACTGTTCGTCACCTTCCTCTTGAGATCAGAAAATATTCTTAAATTTATTTATGGTAATCATTGTCCGTTACACAATAAAGATCCGACTTATATTGAATTTTTCCCTAAGTCAGCTGAGCCATCTTTTTCTGTTTCATATCTTGTTAAAAAATTTATTTCTTTTTCAAAAAAAAAAATCATGAGTCATGAGAATAAGAAACAACAAAATCCCTAAATTTACTTCCTAATTCTCTCATCTACTTACTCCGGATCTTGAAGCTGCAAAAACATATGAACCGACAACGCATACAAGAACAGCAAGAACCAGAGAGAAGAGCTGAAAATTAGCCAGAAACTCTCCAGAGACTTCGGAATCGACTGATCTGCAAACGACAGAGTTTTCTTTAAGACTGCAGCCTTGAGGCATCATAGGACCATAGAGAGTGAAAGCTGTCTGATAAAACCAGAGGCCTTGAAGAGTCATTGCAATGCCATTGCATAGGTCTATTGGGAAGCTTGTAGGGCATATTGCTCCTGCGATTGAGGAGATGACGCAAAGACCGATGAGAAAAACGAGGAGGAGATGGTAATAACCTTCAAGACCTTTGTGGCTTGTGGAGTGGAAGAAGAAGAGAAGACATTCTGCTGTAAAAGCTGTTGCAGCAATTAGACACAGAGCTTCATGCGGCAGAGGAAGTAACCTATGACAAGTAAGAAAGCATCATGGTGAATCTGTCGATTCATATAGATCCATTTCTCTACGGTTGTTTTCCATCAAAAATGAAGTCAAGAATCACTAGTTAACCATTTTTGAGTTCTCAAAATTACCAAAGATCCAACCCAACTTCGAAAGCTAAATATGATTATACGAATCTTGATGAATTTATAAATAACCGAATCATATTGCCAATGAATCAAGATCCATTTCTAAAGTTGTTTTCATCGAAAACCAAGTATAGAATCACTAATAAACCACTTCTGAGTTCCCAAAATTACCTAAGATCCAAACTAACTTCAAAGAAACGCATTATCAACAACCTAGAACCATTACTAGGAATGCTTTCATCGAAACTCAAGTCAAATAATCATTGAGAAAAACCACTTTTGACTTCTCAAATCACCAATGATCCAACCTGCAACTAGCATTCCCCGTAAATGGGTATCAAGAAACAACACACTTATAAAACACCTGGTTTTCTCGGAGAGCAAAGCGGTGAATCCGAGGATGAAGAACATGAGAAGCATCCCGGAGTGCTCGAAATCGTTCATGTGGGAAGGGTTCAAGACACCATTGACAAAGAATTTGAGGTGAGTTGAGTACAGAAACTCAATGCACAAGTCAATGAATGAGCCAATGGTGACAACGTAAAGCTCCAAGTACTTGATCCTATCGTTGAAACCAGGAACAGGGTGCCAAACTCGAACCCGGAATGATTTAGGGTTCGATATGAATCCAACCACTGAGCTCCAAATGTGCCATACTCCAACCACAAAGAACAATGTACCTGGCAAAGCATGACCCTTGAAAGAGCCCATCTTTCTTTTGTTTCTTTGTTTTTTTTTTTTTTTTGTTTATCTTTCAATTCCTGATGAAGAGAAATGCAATTATATCAGTTCCTCACTGTAATCTGGAAAAAGCTTCAGATTCTATACCCACAATCGAAAATCTTAAAATTCATTGATTATCCAAGAGCTAGGGTTTTTTTTTAATTTTGATTTATCAATACAGATTCAAAGAGAGTATACCCTGTAAGAAATCGGAGATCTTCTTCTTCTTCTGTGGATTTCGATCAAAGATAATCCCAACTTGTGAAGTCAGATTCTTCGATGAAAACGAGAGAGAGAGAAGAGGAAGAAAACAAATTCGGTCAACGTTTGAAACTATTGAGAGTAGCTAGAAACTTCACACGGTAGAAGAAGAAAAAAAATGTGAATTTTAATTTCCGTGGAAGAGTGAAATTGGCTTTTATGGGGAAAGCGTGAAGAAGCTGAGAAACAGAACAAAATCCAAAAAACAAATATACAAACTTTGGATAAGAAGAACCTGGAAAAATATGAACTTTACCACAGAATAATAAAGTTTGGATCAAAGTGGAAGAAAACAAAAATCAAGGGTGAAATAAATAAAGGACCTTTACATTATTCGGAGATGAAGAAGTGGAAAAGGTGAGTAATAATATGACAATCATAGAAGAAAATATCACATGGGAGGACCGGAGGAGCATATGAAAATCGGATCTTCTCTTCAAAATTTAATGATTTCATTTTTCATTTCATTATTACTCCAACAAATTCAATGAGGAAGATTATATATAATTTTTTTTTCTTCATTTGGATAAATTGACATTTACTTTTATTTTTTCTTCTTTTTCTGTCGTACTTTTAATTTTAATCAAAACAAATGAGCAAATAAGATTTGAAAACGACAGTAAATATGGGTATATATATCTGAACTAAATTGCCACGTGTATAATATAATATAGCTACTCGGACCTATCTGAGAGACGGTGAAAATTATTTTTCCGATAATTCATTTAGCGTGTATGGCAGCAGAATTGTGTTTTGTAAATCGTGATGTAAATATGTAATAGTTCGTTCACTGAGGATTCAGCCCATCAATTTGGCCCAATATCTTAGGCAAAACCAATTTAAAATGAATGAAAGAAGAGAAAAAATCAGCGGAGCTCTCTTTAGCCAAGGGCTTGACGAACCCGTCTTGTAAGAATACGTGTTAAGTGCTGGTTGGTTAAAATTTTTGCCCTGATTTTTCGAAACCCTCTGCTCTAATTAGTGTCTCTCACACTTAATGAGTTTTCGGATTTGGTCGCGACCAAAACAAAATTTGCCCGATATAAACTAGGGTTTGCGAGAGAATTGGCAATTTTGTTGGAGAGAAATTTCGGAGTGGGTATTTGCGATTGGAGTGAGGATTTGCAACAGAAGGTTAACCAATCTTGTCGCCCTTCTTATCCGGTTAGTGAATCCTTCCTCATTTAAGAATTCGTTGTCCTGAGTTTACCCAAATTTTGTCAATTTCGAGTTTGAAAAATTAAGGGGTTAATCGAAGTTGTTTATGTCTTCTTCTTCTATCTCTTTTGATGTGTTTCAGTCTTTATTGAATCGTGATTTGCATGGTGGATCGTTGGCAAGTTAGAAACCCTAAAAATATGCGAATTGAAATTTGGGGCTTTTTTGTTTTTGTTTAATATTTGGATTAGGTTCCTTGTTCATTGAGTTGTGGTCTGTCTTATCTGGTTTATGAGACCATGTGGTGCAGTGTTGATGTTGTAGTATCGTTTGCCAAGTTTGAATTTGGGGAATTTGGGGATTATTGATGCAGTTGTTGTTGTTCATGATTGAGTTGGCATCTGTGTGTTCTGGTTGATGAATCGTCATATTGTTGCATTACCGGTGCTAATTAGTTCCCATTTTAACCGGCGTTTTGAAGGTTTTTTTTTTCAGAACAATGTTGTTTTCATTATCTATGTTTATGTCATCCGTGTTCTTTGTTTCTTCTGTTTATCTCTTCCTGTCGCTCTTGTAGTTTATGTCGAATTGTTGTAGTTTTCTTCTTTAAGCATTGAGTATTTTTTTTTTGAAGATAATGCCGATAAGCTATTCCGAGTCATTATCAGAAGCACTAGAGGAAGACTTGGTTTGGGCGTACGGTGATGCAAACTGGGGGGTACCTGAGAAATGTTTCTGTGGACGCCAGTAGAGACTTGAAGATACAAGGAGTCCTGGCCGCAAGTACTTTGTATGTCCTGACTGGGTTGACGAGGTGAGATGATATCGTTATTTCCATTGTTGCTTTGTTTTCGCTTTTGCTTACTTAATGCTTTCTACGCAGTCAACCTACCAGCATATCTTCAAATGGTGGGACGAGGCAGTGACAGAACAACTCGGAATTGTGGGGAGAAAGGTGGACGCGCAAAGACAGGACGTGATGAGGGGTCAGGCGTATGATCCGACCATTGAAGAAGTCAAGGCAGAAGTGAGGGTGCTTGTAGGAGAAGTAGCAAGATTGAAGGACCAAATTGCATCACAAGGTGAAAGCTATTTGTTGCTTTGTTCTCTTTGTGTCTTTGCTGCCATTTCTTACATGTTTAAGTAGAAGAAATGTGTTGCATCTGTTCTTATCGTTTTCGGCTGAAGATCTTGTAGTCAGACTTTAATGTTAAATCTTTGTAATGGTCGTTTATGTTATGTCTACCATTTGAACTTATTATGTATTCTATGTTTTCTATTAAGGGTTTAGCTAACAATTAAATTTATTTGGCCAATATTATTTGTATACTACACGTCTACTTTGGGATACTTTTGCAGGATATGCATTGATAGTGGCTGGTATACTCAGGCTGATATGAGGTGAGTCTTTAAAATTTATTTCCTTGCTGTATTTTATTGATGAGTGATCGGCTTGAATGATGTTTTGTTTTGAACTTGCAGGCTAATATCGGGTGGAGCATTAAATAAGCGTAAACATTAGCTGTTCGCTTATTTAATGCTTCGCCTAGTTGCTACGTGACCAGATCAGAACTACGAAGGGGTGGCGACATCACAGCTTTTCTCGTCTAAGGTTAGTCTACACTACTTGTTCTGGTTTAGTAATCGTTCTGGTTTAATACTAAGTTGATTTAGGGTTGATTGTAATGGTTGGTTAGGGTTGTGATAAATGCTGTCTAGTTTATGGTTAGGATTTGACTTGTTATGAATACTTGGTAGATAAGACTTGACTCGTACTCACTGCTGCAACATTAACTTAAACTCTTTAACAGCTACATAGTAAAACAATTTATACACGTAAACACCTACGAACTACAAACTGTATATACTTAAAACACTTAAAAGCCTTTTCACTATACCAAATAACTAAAACACTTAAAAAATCAATACAAACTGCAAAATGGAACCTCCTAACCCTTTTTTTCCACTTCCCAAGGGTTTGTGAACCTCTTTACAACGAGGGTTATTCACAAACCATAGACCTTAGATCCTCTGAACTTCCTGTGTGTAGCAGCCAATGTAACGAGGATCCAAGTGTTGGGGTTGAGGATCGGAAAGAAAGGCGTAAATGGTCTCCGAAGGAGGATATTAGCTTGATCTCTGCTTGGTTGAATACCAGCAAAGATCCAGTTGTGGGTAACAAGCAAAAGGCGGCTGCTTTCTGGAAGAGAATTCAGATCTACTACAACGCAAGTCATCAGCTAGTTGGCATGCATCCGAGAGAGGCGGATCAGTGCAAGCAGCGGTGGGGAAGGATCAACGATCAAGTCTGCAAATTTATAGGCTGCTACGAGGCTGCTCTGCAGGAACAAAGAAGCAGCCAAAACGAGGACGATGTGATGAAAGCTGCACACGACATATTCTTCAGTGATCACGGCATAAAGTTCTCTTTGGACCACGCATGGAGAGAGTTTCGGTATGACAAGAAGTGGTCAACCACGGTGAATGCTAAAGACGGTGGCAAAGAGAAACGAAGGAAAGTAGACGATGGTGCAGGGCAAGCGGCAAACTCCCTAGAAGAGGAAGTTGCACAAAGAAGACCGCCTGGTGTTAAGGCCGCTAAGGCTGGAAAATGTAAAAGGAGTGGGCTGAAGACAACCGGAGGAAAAGAATCTGCCGACCACTTGGCTAAGTTGGAAACCATGTGTGATATTAAGAAGATGGATTTGGAACTGAAAAAAGAGATTTTGAACAAGAGATTGTTTGAGTTTTTCCTTGCTAAACCCGAGCCACTTTCTGAAAATGAAATGGCTCTTAAAAATAAACTAATTAATGAGTTGTTGTAATGTGTTTTAAGTATTTATTGTGTAATAGTATTAGTTATGTGTTTTAAATGTGTTTTATGTTTCTTCCTTAGTCATGAGTTGTATGAGATGTTGAACTGGATTATGGATTTATGTTTCTTCTTTGATCATGGTTTTATGTTAAATTCGTTAGCATGGGTACATATTTGTTCTTATCGTTTTGGTATATTATATGATGTCTACCAACATGTCATATCAACGAGTAGCTGAAATCATACAAAAGAGGTCAAGGACAAAAGAGGTCAAGGCCAAACGAAGGTCACGAATTGTATGCTTGTCCTTATGTTCCACTTGTGTCACAGATAATGTTGTTTGTCCTTATGTTCCACTTGTGTCACGAGTATAGATGTTCATGATTGTAAACCACATGTTCTTGTATTTTTCATGTGTAACTCTTTAAGCCACATGATATTTTCATTTTTAAACACCACATGTTATTGTAAAGATATCATTCATAGTTGTCTATTTATATCTAAGAATATCGTTCTAATTTTTCACAAGCAACAAGCTTCTCTTCTTCTTCTCTTGTATTTTACAAACATCAGTTCTTCTCCTCTTCTTCTCTTTCTCCAATATTCTAAACAAACGTCTCTTCTTCTTTTTCTTCTTCCTCTTCTCTTGACATCTCACTTTCTCCAACTGTTCAATATTCTCGTTTCCAAACTCGTTTGCAATATTCTAAACCAAACTCGTTTGCAATATGGCATCATCATCATACAATGCTTTAGATGATGAATTTGATGATACTTTTGATGAAGTCTTCAATCAACAATTCGATGAGACGCTCAACGCTGTTTTTAATGAGCAAGCAGCAAGAAGGCAAAAGAAAAAACGTGCATACATTGAAAGAGAATGCGAGCAAGGCCACAATCGCTTGTGGAATGATTATTTTTCTGAAGATGCAACATATCCGTCAAATCTATTTAGACTTCGGTTCAGAATGAACAAGGACTTGTTCTTGCGGATTGTTCATCGCCTCTCCAATGAAGTTCCGTACTTTAAACAAAGAAGAAATGGTCACGGGAGGTTTGGTCTATCTGGATTACAAAAATGTACGTCAGCATTCGTATGATGGCTTACGGTTGTGCAGCAGACGCGGTGGACGAATACCTCCGTCTAGGTGCAAGTACTGCACTTTTATGCTTGGATAAATTCACAGAAGGAATAATCCAATTGTTTGGAGATGAGTACCTGAGAAGACCCACACCAGAAGATCTTCAACGCTTGCTAGATGTTGGAGAGATAAGAGGGTTTCCTGGGATGATAGGAAGCATCGATTGTATGCACTGGAAGTGAAAGAATTGTCCAACCGCTTGGAGAGGGCAATATACACGTGGTTCTGAGAAACCGATTATTGTCTTAGAAGTAGTAGCTTCACATGATCTCTGGATTTGGCACGCATTTTTTGGACCTCCAGGTACTTTAAATGATATTAATGTTCTTGAACGTTCACCGGTTTTTGACGACGTATTACAAGGTCGGGCACCGAAAGTGCACTACTGGGTTAATGGGTATGAGTATGATTTGACATATTATCTAACAGACGGTATTTATCCAAAATGGACAACTTTTGTACAATCTATTCGGCTTCCGCAAGAAGAAAAACAATCATTATTTGCTATAACTCAAGAATCAGTCCGAAAAGATGTGGAGCGGGCTTTTGGATTTCTACAAGCTCGATTTGCAATTATCAAGAATCCAGCTCTTTTCTGGGATAAGGTTAAAATTGGCAAGATAATGCGAGCGGCTATCATATTGCACAATATGATAGTAGAAGACGAACGATATTCCCGCACTCTCTATGATACATCAGAATTCGGAGAAGGAGATTCAAGCATATCTTCACACGTGGATATGACATACTCTAGTGATATGTCTACAAATATCAGCAACCTGATGGGCATTCGTACCAAAGTCGGTAATCAAAAAATACATGATCGTTTGAAAAAGGATTTAGTTGAGCACATATAGAACAAATTTGGTACTTCACATGATTAAATCAAAAAAATGTATCAATTTCAGTTTTTATAGTTTGTATGTTTTCAATTTCTTGTAATATATGTTGAATATTTCTTCTATAATCTTGAATGTTTAATTTAAATAACACATTTTCAAAATTAAAAAAAAAATTTTAAAACTAATATTTTATTCTTATGAACTTCTAATAGGATTCACTAACTAATGGAAGTCATTAACTAGAAGAGGTTTGTTACTGTTCATAAATCAATAAAATATTATTATTAAAAATTTAAAAACCCCTTAGAGGGGATCAACAATAGATCCAGTATTTTTTTCAAAATAAATCACTTTGATCAATTTTGATTCTACAGCATTACTTGGATGTTGGGCTCAGGGTTTAATGATGGGCTTAATATACAGTAAAAACCCCAACAGTAACCTATTAAATATTAAAAGTCCAACTATATTATATTAGTCCCACTTCAGGTCAGTGATTATTGTCTTGGCTAATTGGTAGTGGCAAGTGACAAACATCTAAGAGATGCAGATCATAAAGTTCTATTACTTAATTAACTTCCAAGCTCCAACTACTTTTGTTGAATTTTGTTCTTTTACTTTCTTTCAACACCTTTTTGGTATAAGTTAAAAAGTCCTAAGATTTGACGTTTAACAACTGAATTTACATTGTTAAGTTCGAACATACTTTCGAGAAGATTAAAAAGTTAAAAAGTCCTAAGATTATATACTTTTCTTTTATTTATGTATCTAAAATTAACTTAATAAATTGTCTAACCCTTTTTAACAAAAATAAATTTTTATACGTAAACTTAAACTTATTCGTTTTAAACAAATCAATTACCAACATCCATGGTCTTTGTCTTTATATCCAGATCAAGAAGTAAATTTGCAGAATCAAAATATCCGGATCAAGGAGGAGTTACTACCTATACAAATACTTTTTTTTAGTTAAAGACCTATACAAATACACAGAGCGTGCCCAGAGTTTGGGAGTCCGTAAGCTGTATTTTAAAAAAACACCCCTATTAATCTATATATTATCGTCCTTAATCTATAACAAATAAATTTAATTCATATAAAACAAACAATAATCATTAATTTTCCAAGTTCAAATAAAACTAATAATACATATAAATAATATAACATTATTATTTTTAAATTTCATAAAACTATAATACATATCTACAATTTTAAACATATTCCAATCTAAAATCTAAAATCTAAATCATATATTTTTGAAGTTGATAAATTAACCAATTATTTGAATTTTTCTTTAAATTTAGTATAAATCATAAATCAAACTAAATTTAAATTAGATAAAACAAAATTGTAATAAAAATATATTTAGCAATTAGAACATATTAATTGATTATTTTGTTATTGTGAAAAGAATAAGTGAGTTGCATAAGATTTCAATTAAGAAGAAAACAATAAATTTTTAATTTTCTAATTGTTTAAATTACTATATGTGTTGACTTAATATTTTTATTGTGTTGTTAAAATATTTTTTAAAAAGTTATCTATTTTTTACATAATCATTAATTTTCTACAAAGAAATTTTTTCTACTATTAACAATATTAATATATTTAATTAGAAAATTGGACACTTTATTTTTGAAAAAACAAATAGATCCGTAGGCAAGTGTTTCTTTTTCTACTTCATAGGCACGCCCTTGCAAATACATGTTTGTGAAATAATTGTTCACTACAGTTAATTTACTGAAAATCTTAGGAAATTATCAAAAGATAACATTACGAAAAATATCAAAATTCTGGAATAAAATATTTGGTTAAACACCAAGACGCAGTAAAAATTCTTATAACAATAAAGAAAAAAATATTACGAATGTTGGAATAATCAGCTAAAAAGTCAGTTCACCAAAATCAACTGACTAATCTGGCGGAGACATGCAGAATAGAGTTAACTTTCAAACTTCTTTCATTACTTAAAGTCAAGGTCAAAAGATATATACAATTGTTTTTTTTAATCAAACAAAAACAAAAAAAAAGTCACCGATTAATCGGCGTGTAGGTCTATATCAAACATCCAACTAATCTATAGCGGTATCTTGAATATTGGGCGAAACACTGAAACTGTAAGCAATATTTTGTTATTTCCATATCACCATATTACACAAATTTCAACTATGATTACAAAAACTAATTTAAAATGTTCAGAACACAAAATCTTCACACGTGGCACCTAACTCAACCAATCATGGTGCTTTCACCAACCCCATTCTTTTGACAACCAAACCCGATCCTCTTTTTTTTTCCATATCATTCTTATCTTACTTTAATTATTTTTTTTGTGATTTACTTTTAATTTTAAAACGGCTGCATAAAATAATTTGTAGTCCATATATCACGCCGCTTAGAAAAAGTTTTTCTCATTCACATTTTCATTTGGTTTTGAACTATCTGACACTTTATTACATATCTGACCGGAAATTTGTAAATGGTGTTATATCGAACTGACCGAAACTTGTAGTATAGTAGTCTACATTGATCGATGATTATTCTGATTTTTATATGAATTTTGATATGGTGATATGGAAATAAGAATATTCTTAAAATATTTTGGTGAAGTATCATGATAAATAAGAATATTCTTAAAATATGAACGTTAAATTTATTGAAACGGGTTAACATGATAAGAACTCCACTTGTTCTCACTCGCGATTGTTATAGATATTGTTTTTTTTTTTTTTTTTTGCGAAAACCTATAAATCGCAAACACAATGGAAGAAAAGAAATCCGTTTGCATCTGCCGTTTGAGTTTACATTTACAAACAAAAACAAAAATACAAAAAGATGCATATGTTCGATTTACTAATAACCTAGGCCTAAATAATTTATTATCAGAGGATCAGCCAAATCTTAACTAAGATCAATATGAATAAGTAAACTACGTACTTAATTAAGAAAAAAAATTTCCTTTTCAATGTGATGAATGTTGAGAATAGGTGAGCTATCAAGTATCAACTATATGTTCTTGCCATAGATAATACAAGACCAGTAGTTAGAAGGTTAAATCTGAAGAAATTGTGTAAAACAAGAATGAAACTGAAAAAACTTCGATGACATATGTTAGTCTTAATCATGCAATATAGTTGAATATGGGACTCATAACTCATAAGAGTGCGCCGTGTGGGTCATAAGACTCATACCATCGACACTACAACGCTTTTTTTTTTCTTTTTGATAAAAAAAAAGACACAGAATTTCAGTGCATGCTACAAAGAATTTTAAACATAAAAAGTTTTTATTTATTTATTTAAGAGCATTTAATTTGGAGGTTTACAAAACTTATACACCCTTGGATGGGTTTCTTTCTGACCATTGAAATTAACTTTAGAAATCATGACATGTAATGAGTTGGATACATATACAGATTCGAAACAAATGATGCAAATGAATGTTTGTAAAAATGTATGCATGCATTGATATTTAAACTAATGTTGTAATTAGTTCTGTGCAAAAGAGGAAAGAGTAAGAGGGGTTCTGTTTTTCCTTATAAGCAATTCAATGTCGGATTGCTTACTTTAGAGGCGTATCTTCTCCTACTGAATGATTTATCTATCATCTATGTATTCTTTGCCAAAAAAAAAAAAAAAAACACGAAGGCATACATAGGTTCTGAGCCTCTGAATATAAATATTATTGATTACGTCAAATTATTAGAGACTTAGCCACTTAGGCCTCCAATGGATTAGATATTGTTTACTAATTGTGGATTAAATAAGTCATTAATACATCAGCAAAAGGGTATATTTTGTTTACCTAATAATTCATTTCCAAAAATCAGCTGAAAAATAGAAAGTGTATTAATTAGTTATATATACACGTATTTTCTTCTATAGGCATCATATCAAATCTCGATAGCTTTACTTACAATGCATACAATAATCCATTAGGTGTACACACACATGTACATATACATAGATATGTACATGTTTCGACTCATATATATATACACAAGCAAATGAGACACTACTACCAAACACATAAGATCAAGAGAGAGAAAAGGAATGGGAGAGATCAAAAGCGGCGAGAAAACGCGCGTTTTGGTGGTGGGAGCGACGGGTTACATAGGCAAGAGGATCGTAACGGCATGTTTGGCTGAAGGTCATGAGACTTACGTTTTGCAACGACCGGAGATTGGTCTCGATATCGAGAAAGTCCAACTCCTTCTCTCCTTCAAGAAACTCGGTGCACGTGTCGTCGAAGCTTCTTTCTCCGACCACCGGAGCCTCGTTTCCGCCGTGAAACTCGTCGACGTCGTTGTCTCCGCCATGTCCGGCGTTCACTTCCGTAGCCATAACATCCTTGTCCAGCTCAAGCTTGTTGAAGCCATCAAAGAAGCTGGTAACGTCAAGGTAATAAAGTAAAGGTTAAGATTTGTGCGTTTAGAAACTTGTGGGCTCAATCTGTAAACCTTTAAAAGAAAAGTAACACACGATGGGGAGAAAACTAAAATTACTTTTTACATTTCCCTTTTTGTATATGGAAAAAAAGTTCAAGGTACTAATATAACATGCATGTATATTAAAATTAACCTAATATTTAAAACAAAACAAAGGGGTTTTAATGAAATATTATTTTTAGTACTTTGGGATGGTTATCTATCATTTATTTTTTGGTCATAGGTTATCTATATATTATTTAAAGTGATGATAATATTCTATAAAATTAATTGTATTAGCGATTCTTACCATCTGAATTTGGTATGGATCCACCACGTATGAGACATGCATTACCACCGGGAAGAGAAACATTCGACCAAAAAATGGAAGTACGTCAAGCTATTGAAGCTGCCGGAATACCTTACACTTATGTTGTTGGCGCTTGCTTTGCCGCCTATTTCGCCGGAAACTTATCTCAGATGGAAACTTTACTCCCTCCCAAAAAAAGAGTTAATATTTATGGAGATGGAAACATAAAAGGTAAATAATTCTCTCACACACTAAATATTTATGTTGTTGACAAAACTCTTGGACAAACTTTTTATTCTTTCCTTCTCATTGTGGTTCTTTACTTGAGAAGATTTTAGAGTTTCATCTAATAATTTTAAAACAGTCAATTTTAACGGTTTTATCTTTGTAGTGGTGTTTGCGGATGAAGATGATATTGCAAAATACACAGCAAAGACTCTACACGATCCGCGAACATTGAACAAAACTGTGTATGTCAGACCTGCCGACAATGTTCTCACGCATATTGAATTGGTTCATATATGGGAAAAGCTAACCGGAAATGAATTGGAGAAAACCAATATTACTGCAAAAGACTTCCTTACCAACATTGAACGTAAGTCCAATAAAAGTGTAACATACATAGTTCTAATTCTATCTGCAATAGATACCTAATGGGCCAGACTTTAGGCATATTGAATACATGAAGCCCAAAAACGTTATTTGATTTTTCCATGTATAATAAATGTAGAAATGGAGATTCCACACCAAGCGGGGATAGGACATTTTTATCATATATTCTACGAAGGATGTCTCACTGATCACGAAGTCGGAGAAGACGAAGAAGCTTCTTGTCTCTATCCAGACGTCAAGTACAAGCGAATGGACGATTACTTAAAAATGTTCCTCTAATTACTTTTGTCAAATCGTGTCCATCATAAATATGCATATCATAAGTTTGAAGTTTTATATTCGTGTTTTGTCTTGTTATATAAAATTAAAAACATATTCATTTTGCAAAAAAAATATGATATATTTGCTTTTATTATTAACAATCATACAAGAACAACAATAAAAATAATGGTGTCTACTTTCACTTCCCTAAAGAGAGATGGTTCAATAGAGCCTTAGCCTTTATAAATTTTAAAAGTTCTAAACAATCACAAATGCACGGTTAGGCCAATGTAGTACTCTTTCATCAATGTCATTACAAAATTAGAGCATAAATACAAGCACGCTTTCTTATTCTGAAATCGAAAGAGCTCTAGAAGTTCATGTTGGTTCCCAAAAAGAACTCTCCTTGCTGGCTCCATGTATGCTATAGTTCCTGAGAGTGTGAGTTTGGCTCGCCTTGATAACGAGAAAGGTAAAAGAGAGAGGAGGTTACCAAATTCCAAATATAGGAACAATCTCCTCTTCTATTTTGGGTTTTCTTCGGCCTTTAAACGTACACCCGAGCATTTGCCTAAGACTCACCGAATGCATGATGGTTCATTTGGGATGCAAGAGATGAGAGTGACAGAGGGATTTTGGGTACGGAGGAAGTTGTTAAAAATGAGAGACCAGAACAACATGCAAATCTTAGTTAAGATCAATATGATGAATAAGTAAACATAATTTAGATGAATTATGATAAATGTTGAGAGTAGGTGAACTATCAAAACCATCCATCAGAGTTCATGGCCTAATTTTTAAGACAAAATGTATTAAAAAAAATAATAAAAAGGCAGGTGTTCATCGTTCAGGTTCTTCTCGATGAGTTTGAAGAGACAATCTCTTCCACACATGTTACATCCTGATTGGTCGAAAAGAATAATTTTAAATTAGAAAAAAAAAAACAAAAAAAATAAAAAAAATATTATTATATTTTGGTGAACTGATGATAAAAGAGGGATTCACTGATGTATGCTCTCACCTGTTATTTTATTGCCAAAGATAAATACAAAACCAGTAATTAAAAAGTTGAATCCGAAGAAATTATGTAAAAATGATAAAACTGAAAAATAAAAAATTTGGATGACAATTGTGAGGCTGAATAGGACTCGAAAGAATGCACCGTGTGGGTCATATCTACGGACAAAAATACCTGATTAAATTAATCTTAACTATATATTAATATATATATATATATATATATATTTATGTACGACTCAACTCTATACTATTATAGTCGAAATCGAGATGTTGTGTTACTTATTGTTGATTACGTAACATTAGTTCCTTTTTTTTCAGTGACTAAGAGGTTAGAATCAAATGGTGTCTATTATTCATTTAAAAGATAATTAATTATCTGAAAAGTTTAACAATAAATGATAAATGTATAATTAAAAAAAACTAGGAATTAATTTGCCGAGTAATGTTTTTTTCAAATTATCTTTAAATTTAATTTTACTTCTTTTGTTAAATTAAAAATAGTGATAAAAATTTCTTTAACAAAAATATAAATAAATAAAATTGGTGATAATTAGATAACAATATATATATATATATATATATATATATATAAATATCATACAACCAATATTTACTTGTATATATATATCCATTGAATATGACTTTGACATAGTTTTGTTATGCGGTTTAATTATTAATAGTTTTCAAATGTGAAAATGATATGATGTATATATATATATATATATTTTCTCATTATCCAACTAATACATCACATTTAGCTAGTCGGAGGAGTGATCCGTATGCCATCCTCGACCGGCTCGTTATGATTGATTTGGAAGAACATACTTCTTTTAGCTCGAGCTATTTTTACAAGACTATCCGCACAGACATTTAAAGTTCTCGGGATATATGATAAGGTTTACTCGGCAAAGCTCTCTCTAAGGATCTGGAAGGCTTCCAACTCTGTCAGACGGCCAATCTGCTCGAGATTCAGTCATTCGCACCAAGTCTGAGCAATCAGTCTGGAAATGCACCGAAATTATCTGCCTGTCTCTCAAGCACGACATAGTCCAAAGGAGGCAATCCATCTCTGCATGAAGAGCCGAGAGGTTTCTGCGACATCCTTGTAGGCCAGAAATCTCCATTCCCCTACCATCCTCTAACCACCACTCGAGGCCGCTGACCGGTCTGTAATCGATCCAAAAAGCATCAATCCGGCATATCGAGAATAGCGGGTCCTCGGTTGGGGTTATCGGAGGAGGAGAGGAGATTATCGTCCCTGCGATACGGTCGACGGAAAGATATTCGCAATTCTCCAACTTTCTGCTTCCACCTTGGCGTGAACCCAAGTATCCTCAGGGGAAGTATCTTTCCCCTTGAAGATTTTGTCGTTCCTTAGTTTTCAGATAAACCATAGGATCCAAGGATATACATCCTTCTGGGGATTTGTCATGCCAAACTCCTTTGTATTCCAAAAGAGAAAGCTCATATTTTGATAAATAGAGGTACTCGGAAAGAAGCGCAGAAGAGACGAAAAGTTCGATAACGCCCAAACTTGTAAGGCCGGGGGACATAAAGATTCCTCAGGATCTCCACATTGGGGGCAGCGCTTATCAGACCCCATATGCCAGTAGGTGAGGTTCTGGCAGGTAGCGACACACCGTGATAAAGATTACCACATAAAGTGTTTCATCTTTTCTGGTGTGTGGACTTTCCATACATAGCTTTGGAGGACTGTGATACTCGGTCTGCTCCTTGCACCAGCGTCTTGGTCTAACTTAGTCCTTCTAATAGGGTCTATCCGACTTAACCGTGTAAAGTCCTGATTTGGAGTGGTTCCAAGCATATCCATCCAAGATCCAGGTACGGCTAGGTCTCAACCCAAGGATGAAGGAGACATCCTCGGGTTGGAAAAATTCTCTCAAAAGGGGGAAATCCCATTGTTTCGTATCTTGTCGAATAAAAGAATATACCAATAATCCCGGATCTTGATATCCTATCTGCGGGGCGGCACTTTTTGGTCGAGCCCTAAGATCTAGAATCTACAGTTCACTTCAAACTATCATGTTTAGATCCGAGCCAAGTGTCTACCTCAGGCCCATCTTAAGGAACGGTTTTGTGGCCATGATACTCCGTTCCTCTAAGGGGTCAGATTGTCTATAATTCCTGTCTCTCAGAACCCGAGCTAAGAGAGCTGAAGGGTACTGAATAAGTCACCATAGCTGTTTAGCTAGAAGGGCTAAATTAAAAATTTTTAAATCTCTAAATCCAAGTCCGCCCATATCCTGGGGAATGAAAATCTTATTCCAGACAATCCAGTGTATTCCGATGCTATTCTGCTTGGAACTCCACCAAAAATTAGCAATGGCGCTTCGCAGTTTATCAGTCACTCCTTGTGGTAAGAGAAAGCATGACATGACATACGTAGGAATGGCCTGAGCGACCGATTTGGTTTGAATTTCTTTTCCATCCTTGAAAAAAAGTCTTGCAGACCAATTATTGACATGGTTACTCAGCCGATCCTGGACATATTAGAAAAATTTCCTTTTTAATCCACAGATCTGTTTTGGGAGGCCCAGGTACATGCCCATGCCGCCCTGTGAAGTTATTCCAACGGCATCTTTGATATCAATCTTTAGGTTCTGGTCCACTTTATTCCCAAACATGATGGATGATTTGCCTAAGTTTAGTTGTTGTCCTGAGGCTGATCCATATGTATTAATAATCCCGAAGATCTCAGAACCTTGTTGGACTTCCGCTTTATAGAAGAACAGGCTATCATAGGCGAAAAGCAAATGTGAGACTGAAGGACTTGCTTGGGCTACTTTTAACGTATTTCCTCCTCTGCCCTATTAAGGATGGAGATAAGAACCTCATTACACAAGATAAATAGGAATGGGGATATAAGGTCGCATTGCTGTAGTCCTCGCGTCGGGATGTTTTTTTTTTTTGGTTCTCCATTAATCAGGATTTGGTACAAGACTGAGGAAATGCAGAACATTAATAATCTCACTCATCTCTCGGAAAAACCTAGTTTAATCATAAGGGCTTCCAGGAAGTCCCATTCAACCCGATCGTATGCCTTGCTCATGTATGTCTTGATGGCCATAAAGTTTTCTCTACAGATGGAATTTGTGCGAAGGGCGTGAAAATTTTTTTGTGCCAGGAGAATATTGTCTCTAATCAGACGTCTAGCCACAAAGGCCGATTGGGTTTTCGAGATCAGGTTTGGTAAAGTCCTTTTTAGTATTTTGCAGAGCAGCTTAGAGATAATCTTGTAGCATACAGTGTAGAGACTAGTCGGGGGAAATTCCATCATTGCTCTTGGTTTTTTCTTCTTTGGGATAAGGCATATGTTTGTCTGGTTAAGTCTAGGATCAAAAGATCCCGAAGTAAAAAAGTCTTTCACCAATTTAACTATGTCATGGCGGAACTCTGCAAGATTTTTTGAAAAAATTTACTCGTCATCCCATCCGGGCCAGAGGCTTTATCTGGATTAATATCAAAGAGGGCTTCTTTAATTTATGCTTCTGATGGATCCTTCACAATACTCGGTAATATACCGGAGTGCGTTTTCAGGATCTGTGGGCAGTGACGAAGTAAACAGGTCCTAAAAATATTGTGAAGCCACCTTTTCAATGCCTTTTACGTTCTCCACCCAGTTTCCATTATTATCTTTTAAGGCGATGATACGGTTCCAGCTTCTCCTTTGTTTAGTAATGGCATGGAAAAATTTTGTGTTTTAATCACCTTCCTTGTGCCATTTTTCACGGCTCTTTTGTTGCCAGTAGATTTCTTTTTCCCGCAGCGCTGCATATAATTTCCTTCTGATCTCTTCTATTTCTTCTGTTGTTGTGTTCTCATCATCCTGAGCTTCATCTAGTTGGGTTTTTAGATCCTCGATCATCTTCTCCGAATTAATTGGGAGAGATTTCTTCCACCAGGAGATACTTTTCCGACAGTCAGCTATTTTTGATGGAAAACTCGACGTGAGCTTCCATCAAAAGAGTCCCATACGGAAATAACTGCTTTCTTTCCTAGCCATCTTTTATCGAACCTAAAAGATTTTTTTAGCCGTTGATTATCCACTCTTATCATAGCTAGAACCGGTCGGTGATCCGAACCCCATAATTTTAGGTACTCCATAGTCATGTGGGAAAATCTAGACTGCCATTCTTGATTCCCAAGGACTTTATAGAGTCGGCATTTGACTTTACCCGACCGTCTCTTTCCAACCCATGAGAATGAATTTCTTTTGAATGGGAATTCTAGCATGCCACAATTATCCAACATAATTCGAAAAGGGATGAATGAATATTTAGGTCTTTTTCATCCTCCTCGTTTTTCATGGTTCCTTGTAATTTCATTAAAATCCCCAATCATAAATCAAGTCTCTTAACGAGAAAGGCTCATCCGGGTGAGGCGTTTCCAAACAATTTTGCGATTTTTACAATCAGATCTCCGTTGACGAAAGTCGTAAAATTTTTCTGCCCGTCTAGAGTTGTTTTTATATCAATCAAATGTTCATCCGAATAAGAAATAGAAACCGTAAGTTCATCCATATATAGAAGGGCTAGACCGCCGCTTTGACCTCACGGTTCAACGGTACAAACATGGTCATAGCCAAAATACACTTGCATATCTTGCTGAAAAACCGATTGTTCTTAGTTTCCGATTGTTCTTCTAGACGTTCCTTCGTCAGGTCGGCATCCGCACCCTGACAGCTCCATCTGATCACTTTCATTTTGAACGGTAGAGTTGGACATAAAATCCGAAACCAAAGTATTAAACCGAACCCGACCAAAACATTTGGTTCGGTTCGGGTTTGGTTCTGGTGAAATATCCGAATGGTTATTGTAGCTGGGCAATTTTCGGTTATCGGTTCGGATCGGTTATTAACCAATAACCAAAATAAACCAAACTAATTAAAACCTACCCATTTTTTCCTTTTCTCCTTTGGGCTTCTCTCCATTGAGCTTCTCTCCATTTGGACTTTTCCTTTTTTTCCCTTCTTATCTTCTGATCCTGGGCCTGAGCTTGCCTTTTTCGCTTCCCCTTTGCTTTTGGCGAGATTCAGCCCAAAGCAAAATTCCTGCATTTTAGAGACACGCCAAGGGTCGCCGGCGATCTAGGTACTTTTTTTCCGATGAGCCGACCTTGTTTCCCGGGAGGTTGGACCGGCTGAGAGATCTCATCCATCTTCTCCGGTGATCTCCACCAAGAGGCTCTAGGTTTGAGGTGGCCTTCAACTTCGGGAGCATTTGGATTTTTCGCGTCGAGAACCATGTCTTCTGATACCAAGTCTTCTCCTAGCAGGTCGTCGCCTTTAAGCAGCTCCTCTAATTGCTTCTCGTCATACAAGTCGGAATCGTCTAGCCATTCATCATCATCTTCAATTCCTTCAATTTTCTTAGATGTCACCATGAAATCAGGATCAGTTTAAGCATCCTCATCCTCCATCAGAGCTGCTTCCACAATTTTCAGATTTTTTCCCAACTCGGAGTCCGTTTCCGCATTACCCAGAATCACAGAGGGAGCTTCTTCAGGTACAAATTGAAAATGATCTTCTTCCATGGGGACAGCAGATTCTTCTTCTTCTTTCTCCAAAGTTTGATCAAACCAGATTTTGTTACTGAAAACTTGATGGGGAAATGATCTTGATGTAGGCCCTTGGTTCTGAGAGGAGTGCGAAGCATTATCTTTTGTAGCCACATGATCAGCAAAAAGCAGCTTCTTTGCTGAGCTACCAACTTTATTGGATTCACCAGGCTCCATATCATTCCCTCCTGTCAAATCGCTGGATCTGCTGAGGAGATTCAGGCGAAAAGGTCGGCTTCTCTGGTGTTCCGGTGAAACTGGTACCTGTTTGGCTTTGAGAGCGTCGCGACGAGAGGGAATGTCAGACAGAGTTCTTTGAGAATCAGATGACTGCTTCGGGAGAGAAGGGATCTTCGACAAAGGTGGTTTTCTAGCGTGAGGATTCTGCTTAGGTAAATGCTCCTTCTCCTTACTATTTTTTTCTATTTTCTTTTTGCTAGCTACAAAAGAATCTTCATACCTTCTTTTGCGATAGAGATTTCCGGACTGGTTAGGGTCTTCTCTGAGTCTGGGAATAGAGTCTTCCATCGGTTAATAGCATCGCTCATAGCGACGAGCCTCTGAACGGTAGTCTCTGTGATGTTTGATTATGTTCCAAACACTGCCATTTCTCCTCTCCTCAGTTCTTCTTTCATTAGAATCTCTCGGTCCTCTTCTGTCTCTCTCTGCATCATCTCTGTCTTCATTGTTTGCTTGCAGGAAACTGGAGATTTCCACCGGAGGGTTTAGGGCAGGAGCTCTCTCACGCACTGGAGCAGAAAACATTCCTGCTTGGCGTCGCAGGTACATGATGTCCCTCTCACGGTGCTGCTCATCTCTTGCAGCTTGAGACATTTTTCTTTCTGCTTCTCTTTCCAGCATTTTTTCCCTTCTCTGATCTTCTAACAAGAGAGTACAAGTTCTTTCATCATGGAAGATGTGTCTACTGGTAAGGCATCATCTCCTAGTTTCTCATACTTCAGGCCTATTTTGACAATCTCACTAGATTCAAGTTTAACTTTTGCAGAGAACTTGAGACGTTTATCGGCATTCACCGATACCTGAACTCTTGCAACTCTGGCATCTACAGCCTTTACATCACCCAGACATTTCCCAGTAGTGCTGAAGTTCTCTTCAACCCAGAAGTGAGTAGGTATGCATGATATCCTGACCCAGATTATCTTGTTGTTTGGGAAGGTTTCACCAACATGGGGAGTCCATCGCTAAAGAGAGAATGACCATCTGTTAAAATGGCATGGTCTGTTGCTGAGCACTTTCAAAAGATCTGCTTCAGAGTCAAAGTCAAACTGAAACCTTGAGTTGCCCAGATCTATTCCATGGACCCTTCCTTCAACATCCCAAATGTTTTGTCTTGGCATAAAGGTAATAAGAGCATCAGTACTCCTTATCTCGCTATTGAACATTATTCCGACGAGGCTTCTGCTGAATCTGGCAATAAGATGGGAGTTGTCAACATGAGGAAGCTCTATGATTTCCTCATCCTCGTCCTCCAGGTGCGTGATGTTTAGATCTTCTTTTGACCGGTCCATGCTTGGTGGTTAGAGAGAGAGGAGGTGATAAGTAAACGGTACTCTTTTATCAGCAGAGTTTTGAGTGTCTTAGTCCCAGACTAAAGTGGAGAAAATCAGGTACACACAGAAAAAAACTTCCCAGGAGGGAGAGGTCTTCAAGATCGAGCTGTTGCCTTCCTCTGTATCATTGAAGAAGCAGAGGGAGACAGTATGGAATGGTGAGAGGCAGGGGTTCTTAGCACTGAGCTAGACATGAAAGGAGTCGTGGTTAAAGCCAGATGTGAAAAGTAAATATGTTTGAGACAGGTTACAGGTTAGAAAGCATCTTATTTTCGGTAGAAAAATAGAGTCTCCGGCGAGAATAGAGGAAGGAGGGCGGCGGTTTCCGAAAAGGGAGCAAGGTTTGCAAGGAGGAGATGGTTATTTTGGGTAAAAGAATAGGATTGAGGATAGAAAAAAGCAAGTCTCAGACATATTTGTATATATATATATATATATATATATTCAGTCATTCTTACGTGGGCGAATCACGTGCTTGCATGTGACATCCATGACTTTTTTTTAAATACGCCCTCTTGGGCTAAATTAGGTTTCGTATTGGATTTACGGTCCACTACGACCTAAGCATATAACATCAGGCTTCTAATCCTTTGAATTCGGAAGATCCGGCATGAAAGACCACCTGTTGCTGGGTTCCTCGTATCTGACAGCGCATGTCACGCTGTCAAGGATAAGGAGGTCGAGAACCGAGTAGTCAGGAAGAAGAGATGTTACTTTATCTATATCCTAGACCTAAGCTCAGTAATCTGGAAGGGTCGGGATATAAGGAAATGTAACCCGCACAGAAACCCAAAGAAAGAAGTCAGCCAGCCAGCAAGACAATCCCGACAACTCAGTCATAGTATCATGGGATCCGAATCAGGTATAAATGCTCCATTAAGCGGGAAATACCGTTCAAATTTTCTTTCATTCGACAATTGGTATATGAGTTTTGCTGATTTGATTGCTCATACCATTTGTAAGCCCACGGGATTGGCATTTAATGCTAAATGCTTACACATGTCAGGTGATAGTGACAACTCACAGAAAGCAGAAGAAAAGCAGAAGTTCAGCAAATGCCATACCGCATCTGAACCGCCGAACTTAACCCGTACACTGAAGGTGAAAAGGACGCACCAAGGAATGGTCTCGCAGCAGGAGGAATACGCCAAGAAAAGATGATGAGGCCATCAGAAACATGACGCAAGTACAAGATTCGGATCCAGTCAAGCTAGATCCTATACCAACCCGCAAAATTAAAGGCCCAATGTCTGATCCAGTATACTAATCAGAGTCAGGTAAAATTCTATAAATATTTAACCCTTTTTCAACAGAAAAAGGGTTCAATTCTTTCGCTACCTTGAAGTTCATATTATCTCTCTAAATATTTGTGAATCATAGTGCTTAGCACTCTCATTTTCCAGTCATCACTCCAACCACTTTCTTACTTCCACTCTATTCCACGGTGGTCCCTAAACCTGCATGTCCACTCCTAAACTCTTACATTTATTATATTTTTGATTCTAACTGGATGTATCTCCTATTTTCCACTGCAATAGAACAGTGATGAGATTGTAATATAAAGGATTCGAAATCCAGAGGACCAATGTTACTCTAAGAATCTAAAAAGACTGAATTAAAGCTAAGACGAAAGATGCTTGGTTTGTAACTTTAACGACAAGTAAAAGCAAGCTAACGACGATTTCAATTCCAAATTAAAACAAGCACTAGATCAAGGTAATTCACAGGAGTTTCAGAGATGAGAATCAGATGACTATTCAGGGCACAACTTAAATGCAGGTCTCGAACTCAAACATAAAAGCTTATCGATCTAATGTCGTGATCTCGATAACTTTATCTAACAACCTAAATTCTAAATTGTCGTTTGAACCTAGAAAATTGCAGACAAGCATTGACGAGCAGGTTTGATTTGTTCACGATTCTCCTTAACTTCAACTGTCATTGGCTAAGGACAAATCGCTCACCAAAGTTTATTCTAGCAACCTATTACACTTTTGATGAATAGATTAACCTAAGATCGAAAATTGAGTGGCCAGTTCAACATAAGCGTTAAGTCTAACAGTGGTGAAGACAATCGAATTTAAGCCCTATTGCATCTAATTCTCTATCTCATGAAATACTTTTAAAACCTTAATCTAGTTAAGAGATCTACTCAGACATGGAGAAAAGAAACACAGCAACAGATGAAAAGGAATTCATGAAATAAATTGCAGAAGTGATAATAGGGTTCAGAATTCTTCTCAAAGTGTAGCAGATTTCTTCTCCCAAAACCTTACAAGCAAAAACTCTCTAGTCCAGAAAACTGTAAAAAGAAAACATAGAAGAAAGTCTGTAAAACGTGGTTCTGTTTTTGAGGCGCCTCTGGACTTTTTATTCTCTTTCTGGTCCCAGAATTAGGTAAAAGTCGTTTTGCTTATTTTTCTCCAAGTGGCTGGAGCAGGTGCTCCACAGAAGGCTTCTCCAATTACGTATGAAAATTGCTCTTTTTTGCTCAGCTTCATCTCTTTTTGCTCCAAAGCCTTTCAGACCATCTAATCCTCAGCTAAAGCCCCTTAGTCACCTGAAAAAACCTTTAAAAGACTTCAAAAACTCCTAAAAAGATTAGTAAACACAGGTTAGAATGAGTCAAAATCTCCACTTATCAACTCCCTCAGACTTAGATCTTTGTTTGTCCTCAAACAAACTAGAATCTAGTTCCAGAAAAATGATTGGACTATGGTGGGAACTCGCAAAAACTCAGAAGACCTTAAATTTGACCATAGCATGCGGACGATATGTTGCAACATCAATCCAAATCGAACCTCCATGTACTTCTCTGCAGATATTGCAGCTTCCCAGATTAGATCCATAATTTCATAACATTATCCATATCCCATCATCGCTGGGTTTCACTGATGAAACCAATGCCAAGGGCCTTCTAGACTCATTCCCATACTATACCATGAAAAACTGACCAAAACACACAAAGGTACTCTTCCTCTCCCCCAGAACTTATTCACTTGGAGGCAGTTTTTTTTTTTTAGGTGAATAATGGGGTCACAGGAAACTTTCTTACCCCTCACTTCCAATCTTTGTGTGATCATTTCTCTCTAAAGTAAAATAGTGAAGTCACAGGAAATTTCCCTACTCCTTTACTTTGAAAGAAAATCATCTCATATTTTCAACTTTAGTTAACGCTTAGAATAAGGGAGAGGAGTACCAATCTTTTCATCACACAGGTCCTTGTTTTTCAGGTATGAATAAGGAGTCAAGCCTTGTGAACACTTGTCATATCGATGAGGTAAAAAGAAGAGCTCAGAAATTAGCTCAGGTCAATGGATTTTGTCAGAAACATGGACGCCTCTAGTTCGCTGGTCAGCCCTTTGATTTTCCATAAGTCTGGTCTGGACTGATTTTGCAGCAATGGTCACTAAAAAGAACATGGTCAAAATTCACAAATGGTCTAAACTCATCATAGATTTGGTCCTAGTTCCCACAAGTTTTGACTCATATAACCGACTGGCTCAAAAAAAAACAAAATGACCCAAAGAAACAAACTAAAAACTGACTCAAAGAAAGTACTGAAAGAAAGTAAAAGAAAGAAGTACAAGAAACATTACCCTCCCTCGGACTTACTTCACACCGTCCCTGGTGTGAAAATAAGCTAGAGAAATGCCCAAAAAACTTACCTGGTTCGCACATGTAGAGCACCCTGGCGGAGCAGGTGCTCCAGAACAGAGTTGGGTGCTCCCTCGTCTTTTCTTCGTCTGGAGCAGGTGCCAAAGCAGGTCCTCCGGTTTTCCTGGGGTTGCTCTTTCGTCAATTTTTCGTCTGGAGCACCCCGTGGAGCAGGTACTCCAACAGAGGGGGAGGTGCTCCTCCGTCAATTTTTTATCTGGAGCCCCCCGTGGAGCAGGTGCTCCAACAGAGGGGGAGGTGCTCCTTCGACAATTTCACGCCTTTAGCAGCCAACCCAGCAGATGGAGCGGGTGCTCCAGTTGATTGCTCCTTCTTCTTCTTCCTCACATCCTTTCTCACGCTAAAAACCTTCTTACATGTTTTTTTTTTCTTTTTTTTTTGAAAACAAAAACCTAAAAACAAATTTAGTAACTAAGAAATAAAAACACAAAGTTAGAGAATTTTACCGATGGGTTGCTTCCCACCAAGTGCTTGTTTTAAGTCATTAGCTTGACTTGAAAAGCTATTTAGGCTCGAGGAGGATCGCTTAAGGTGAGTGATTCACCTTCTGCGACATTAGGACCAGCAAGATACGGCTTCAACCTCTGTTCATTGACAACAAACTCGCCTCTTTTAGTGTCCAGCAACACTACAGCTCCATATGGTCGAACCTCTTTGATGATGAAAGGTCTAAACCACCTTTGTAACAAGGTCATTGAGTAAGCACGGACAAGCGACCGCGGTTAAGTGCTGAGTCGAGAACGGACCGAGACAGTTAGATTCTGCCGAGAGAAGCAACTTTGGTCGAGCAAGAAAGGATTTAGCCGAGGGAAATAAAAATTCTGCCGAGAGAATTAGATTTTCGCCAAGGAATCAGGTTCTGGCCGAGGAAGCATGAGCGAGTCAGATTATTGTACAAATGTGGAAATCTGATGGAGGTTATGTGCGGATAAGAACAGATGTGGCTGGTTTCTGTCCACACATTTGGCGCATGATTAAGGGTGATTAGTGTTAGGTCTGATGACTAAGGTTTAAGAATTTTTGACAAGTGTTTAGCATGTGGCAAACATGCAAAACGTCCCTGAACCTATAAATACCCCTCCCTTAAGCTCAGGAAATTCATCTCAAAATCTGAGAATTCTTGAGAGAGAAAGTAGTGAGAGAAAGGAGAGAGTTTGGCTATTTGGCGATAGGATTCTGCTTACAGGAAGTGGACGCGCGGTGCTAGCTTAGCGAACGGTCGGTAAGCCGTAGAGTAAACCCTTTCTGTTTTAATCTTGTCCTAGGCTATATATTCATTAGATCTATATCGTTTTAGATCTAGAGGAATACCGAAGTTAGGAACAAGATGGGTTAAGATCGGTGTTGGACCTGCGTTAAGGGTGAGTTCCGGTTTTGTGTATGTTATTAGGCTAACATGCAGGTTTGGTCGGAAGAATAACCAGGGCGGTGTTATTCTGGTCTGGTGTTGTGCTCGGTGAAAGGTTTGACGTATTATTTTCTATGGTTTTAGGGAAAACCGGATAGAAATAATACTTGGTAAATTAAATGATGAATGCAAGTAAAGGACCTCTTGCATGTCGTATTTAATTGTTTGTGTGTTATTTGATGATGCATCTAGGAAGTATAAATCAAGGTAGGATTTATACGTTCTTAGAGTAGATGCAGTCGGCACGTCCACGTACCTTATCTTTGTGGAGAAGGCCACGGAGGTAGGAAGACTCAGAGGGTCGAAGGGTAGCTCCCTTGGCCGAGTGCTGCCAGTAAGGCATTCCGATGCTATGTGACGGTATGTTAATAGATCGGTGAGAGGTCACCAAGATGATCCTGTGTGGTGATTTGCTTGATCGTTGCAACTAGGGGAGTGGCCGATGCATTTAGAGGCCTCACATTAGGAAACGAGATTGATTGACATATAAAAATCTATGTCTTAGATTGCTTCCGCTTGTGCATACAATGATGCATTATGATTAATTGTGTGATTGTTTGTGTGGGGATTGAGAACTAATGTGTGTTTAGTACACCCGGAGCTCACTGAGTATTGCTAGAATACTCATGACTCATTTGTTTTGCAGGTGACCAGTAGTCGGGAATAGCTCGAGAAAGGCGGAACGGCCGGAGTAGTTTTGGCTTGGCTTTTGCAAAACAAGGTTTCAAGTATGTACATAGTATCTTTTGGGCACTAGGCCATGGCCGTTTCGCTATAATCGTTTTGTAAGACAATATTTTCAAGTTTAATAATATAAGTATGTTTGAAATAAAACTCGGCTTGTGTTAGTGGTATAAGCTAGTCCAAGCTGAAACAACTCAAGACTAAGATACGGGTTGAAAAGCATTAGGTCTTGGTCGAGAGGCGTGATTTTAGAAGCGGTTTAACCTAATTAGTATGGGCTGCTTTTTTCGAACTGTCTCTATTATCATCTTGTGGCGCTCTGGGTTCGTCCTAATCTTAGTACGAATCGGGGGTGTTACAACCTTGATCTCAGCTTTCCAGGAAAAAGCTTCAATCGAGAATTAAACAGCAGCACCTGATCGTTTGGTGCAAAATTATTGTTGAGGATCTTCTTGTCATGGAAAGCTTTGGTTTTCTCCTTGTAGATTTTCGAGTTTTCATAGGCCAGATGCCTAATTTCCTCCAACTCGTGCAGCTGCATCACTCGCCTCTCATGAGCACTTCTAGCATCAAAATTCAGCAACTTCACTGTCCAAACAGCTTTGTACTCGAGTTCCACTGGGAGATGACAAGCTTTTCCATACACCAAGTGAAATGGTTTATTCCACAAAGGTGTCTTGTAAGCTGTCCTATATGTCCAAAGAGCATCATCAAGCTTCACTGACCAATCCTTCTTTGTGGTGCTTACAGTCTTTTGGAGAATGTTTTTGATCTCCCTGTTGGAAATCTCAACTTGCCCACTCGTCTGCGGATGGTACGGAGTTGTCACCTTGTGTCTTACACCATTCGTCTTCAACAGGTTCTCAAAAACCTTGTTGATGAAGTGTGAACCTCCATCGCTAATCACCACTCGAGGCACACCAAACCTTGGGAATATGACAGATTTGAACATCTTCAGAACCACATTTGTGTCATTTGTAGGGCTAGCCAGAGCTTCGACCCACTTTGAAACATAGTCAACTGCCACCAGAATATACTCATTGCCATAAGATGATGGAAATGGTCCCATGAAGTCGATACCCCACACATCAAAAATCTCTACTTACAAAATGAAGTTCTGAGGCATCTCGTTCCTCTTGCTTATGTTCCCTTGTCTCTGACATGTGTCACACCTGGATATGAATCTCTACGCATCTCGGAACATACTAGGCCACCAATACCCAGCCTGGAGGATCTTTGACTCTGTTTTAAAAGTGGCAAAGTGACCAGCATAAGGTGAACCATGGCAATGAAACAAGATCCCTGGTATCTCCTCATCAACTACACATCTCCTGAAGATTCCATTAGAGCAATGCCTGTATAAGTAAGGCTCATCTTAAAAAAATGCCTCACATCCTTTAGAAACTTTTTCTTCTTGTTTCCCATGAAATCTGCCGGTTCCTACTCTGCAGCAAGGTAGTCAATCTCTCCAAACTATGGAAAACCAGAATGTCGAATTACTCCAACTGAATAGCAGAAGTTCGTCGGAGCAGGTGCTCCAGGTTGGAGCAGGTACTCGTCAAACCTAGAAACATCTATGGCGTAAACTTGTTCATCAGGAAGGCTGTCATCAAGTGGAATATCATCATCAATCTTCAGCCTTGACAAGTGGTCTGCAACACCATTATCAATCCCTTTTTTGTCTTTGATCTCCAAATCAAACTCCTGCAGCAAAATGATCCATCTAAGGAGCTTTAGCTTGGCATTCTTCTTCGTCAACAGGTATTTTAGCGCTGCATGGTTTGTGTGAACAACAACTTTCGACCCAACAAGGAAATACCTGAACTTCTCAAAGGCATAAACCACTACAAGAAGCTCTTTTTCAGTTGTGGCATATCTGCATTGAGCTTCGTTGAATGTTCGGCTGGCATAATAGATGACATGGAGCTGTTTTTCTTTCCTCTGTCCCAGCACTGCTCCCACTGCATAATCACTAGCATCGGTCATGACCTCAAAAGGCAGTTCCCAATCTGGTGGCTGGACAATAGGAGCGCTGACCAAAGCTCCTTTTATCGTGTGAAATGCCTCCAAACATGCATCATCGAACTCAAATTTCACATCATTGCACAGCAGCTGCGTTAGAGGTCTAGCAATCTTTGAGAAATCTTTGATGAAGCGTCTGTAAAAACTAGCTTGACCCAGAAAACTGTGAACCCCTTTAACTGATGTTGGTGGCTGCAGACTCATCATCACCTTGATCTTTGCCCTGTCCACTTCGATCCCTTTCTCTGAGATCTTTTGTCCAAGCACGATCCCATCTTTCACCATGAAATGACATTTCTCCCAGTTCAACACCAGATGCTTCTCCTCACACCGCTGCAAGACTATGCACAAATTAGACAAACAGACAGAAAATGAGCTTCCATAGACAGAAAAATCGTCCATGAAAACTTCCACTATGTCTTCAATCAGATCAGTAAAAATCGACATCATGCAGCGTTGGAAAGTCGCTGGGGCATTGCACAAGTCAAATGGCATTCTGCGATATACAAATGTGCCAAAAGGACATGTGAATGTCGTCTTTTCCTAGTCATCCAGGTGGATTGGAATCTGAAAGAAACCTGAATAACCATCTAACAAACAGTAGTAAGGATGGTTAGCCAAACGTTCAAGCATATGATCGATAAATGGTAAAGGAAAATGATATTTACGAGTTGTAGCATTCAATTTCCTGTAATCTATGCACATTCGATGCCCAGTAACAGTTATAGTTGGTATCAATTCATTCCTATCATTTTTTATTACAGTGATGTCACCTTTCTTAGGAACTACATGAACCAGACCAACCCAATTACTGTCTGAAATCGCATAGATCACACCAGCTTCTAGAAGTTTCATTATCTCTTTCTTAACAACATCTTGTAGATTCGGGTTTAACATCTTCTGATGTTCTACAGAAGTCATTGATTCATCTTCTAGATGTATTCTATGCATGAAAAGATCTGGAGAAATCCCTGGAATGTCATCTAGTGAATATCCTAGAGTTTTCCTATACTTTCTAAGTTCGCAAAGAAGCAAAGCAATCTCTACATTGTTCAATTCAGATTTCACTATCACAGGGTATGTCGAATTGGGTCCTAAAAACGCGTACCTGAGCCCCGTAGGAAGGGATTTGAGTTCAAGCTTCGGAGCTCTCAATTCGTTCCAAGGTCCATCAACCAAGCCGTCGCGAGCAGGTGCTCCGTCGGTGTTTTCTGCAGTTGTGCTCTCTTTGCCTTCCAAGCTCATGTATGCCACCAGCCTATGCATCTTCATGCTTGCATCTAGCATCCTTGCACACCCATCAGCTTCCTCACTCAGATATGTTTTCCTTCGGCTTTTGTGAGTGCAACTTCCAAAGGATCAATGGCCAAAACCTCTTCAGCAACCTCTTCAGCAATGCCTGAACCATCATCAACGACAAATGTATGTCCATCCATCATTGGTTTCTTAAGGAGTTTGTTCATCTCGAATCGCACCACCATATCTCCCAGCTGGAGATCTATCACTCCTCTTTTCACATCTATGATTGCACCAGCTGTGCATAAGAAGGATTGACCCAATATCAAAGGATCCTTGGGTTCTTCATCAACCTCCAGAACCACAAAATCTGCTGGGATGAGTGTATTGCCTATCTAAACATGCAAATCCTCAAGTATACCAACCGGAAATTTGGTTGATCTATCATCGAACACCAGCGAGATTTTTGTCGGCTTGAATCTGGTGTAACCCAATCGCTTGGCTACAGAATAATGCATCATATTCACACTTGAACTCAGATCGCAGAGAGACCGTGCAAACAGCGCATTACCAATCCTGACTGAGAGAACAAATCTTCCTGGATCACTTCTCTTCTTCAGCACTTTGTTCTGAAGCACATCACTGCACTCCTTCGAGACCATCATGACACTCTCTTCCTCAACACATTTCCCAGATATTAACCCCTTCATGTATCTTTTAAGAGCTGGTATCATCTGAACAACATTAGCTAGAGAGAGTTTCACAGTCAAATCCTTCAACATCTTCCTGCACTTTGCCTCTTCTAAGTCCTTCCGGGACTTCTTAGGTGGAACTGGGTAAGGTACCTTAGGCGTATAAACTCGCGCAGGAATGTTTGCTGGAGCAGTTGGCTGGAGCAGGTGCTTCGTCGTTGGCTCAGGGTGCTACATCGTCAAATCTACGTCTGGAGCAGGTGCTCCCGATTTTGGAGCATGTGCTCCGGTTGGAGAAGAATGCTCCATCGTCTTTTTTACGTTATGAGTTGGTGCTCCTTCTTGGAGCAGGTGCTCCACGTCTTTTTTCTTCTTCTTTTCTGAGACAACACTTGTTGGTGCAGTATGTAGAGTCTTCCCACTTCTCAACTCAATAGTATTGACAAACTCATTCCTAGGATTTTCACTTTTTACAGGGAGAGTTCCAGGTGATCTCTTCACAGCTTCAGCAGTCTGACCTACCTGAACATCCAGCTTCTTCACATGAGTCCACACTGCTTCATACTTACCATTCAAATCATTGTACATGGTGTCCACTTTGGCATTAATCTCCATGGAAGACTTTTGCTGATTAACCAGCAGTTGTTGCATCAAGTTTTTCAGCTCCTCCTGCGAGTTATTTGGGGAATTCGAAGAAGGCTGCAGACTTGTGAAGGGCAACTTCTGCTGATTTCCACCTTGATATCGAATCTGATTGGTGATGAACTGCTTCCCTTGAAAATTTCTGGAGAATTTCTTCTGAAATCCTGACTGATTCTGCACACTTTGCTGTGGATAGACCTGACCCTGAAGGTTCTCAACATTGTTGCTCCTGTAGGACAGATTTGGATGGTTTCTGAAATTGTTGAATCTGCGGTTCTGCATATACCCTAATCCATTCACAAAGTTCATCTCCATCTGATCATCATCCTCTGCTTCTACAAACTCTTGGGCAAAAGGTGTATCACCAACCTCATCAGCAAACTGCACAGATCTCTGGTTCTCTCTCAACAGCAGATTCACCTTTGCTGTAAGCTCATCGATCTTGTGTAACTCCACACTATGAACTGCTTTGCTGGACCTGTCATACTCTTGGGATTTGTTGATGGAGCTTGCAGCTAAGTTCTCAATCAACTCATAAGCACCTGCTTTGGACTTAGTCATGAAATCGCCATTGCTAGCTGCATTCAAAGCATTCCTGTAATCTCAGTTGACACCATCATAAAAAGTTGACAGAATCTGCTCATCAGAGAATCCATGGTGAGGGCACTCTCTTCGGTACTCCTTGTACCTTTCCCAAGCTTTGCAGAAAGCTTCACCAGGTTGCTGTTTGAACGACGAGATCTTGTTCTTCAGAGCTGCAGTTTTGGCCTTAGTGTAGAAATGGTCCAAAAATGCTGATCTGCACTCTTCCCATGTAGTCAATGACCCAGGTGGTAATGACTTCAACCAGCGCAAATCTTTGTCCGCAAGTGAGAACGGAAAAAGCTTGCACTTCAGAAAATCGGCTGGTATCCCATTGGATCCAGTCGTGCTGCAAATCTCCTCAAAATTCTCGATGTGGTCTATCGTCATCTCAGCAGAAAGCCCATGAAAGAGATGTTGCTTCAACAATGAGATCAGCTGAGGTTTGATCTCAAAGTCTTGCCTCTGAATTGTTGGAGGAGCAATCGCAGCTCTGTTTTGGTAGTAAGCATGCGGATTGTCCTTGTCTCTAATAGCAGGTTGTGGCTGCTCCCTGTCTTGCTGTGCCTTTTGCAGCTGCTCCAATTGCTGTCGAAGCTGTTGCAGCTCGAAAGCCATGTTGTCATTTTTGCCTTGATCGCCCATGTTGGCTGTATTAGGGCTTCGACGTCTGTTTTCTCGCTCGACACTTGCTAGCTCGGCGTTTGACAAAGAAACAAGATCCTTGGTGCAGTTGCTCTTTGTGGATATGTTTGTCATACACCTGAAACACACGCAGACAAGAGAAAAAGAGAAAAATTTAGTAAGGTCTTAGTCTGAATTTCAAACCAAGAATCAGAGGTAACGAATTGGTCCCCGTCGCAACGGCGCCAAAAATTAATTCCAACTGGATGTA